AAACACACCTCAAAATGTTTGATGATGGAAGGATAGTATGCCTTCATTGGTGTAGGAGGTTTGCTTATTATAGAGTTTCCCACTTGCCAGATTATTTATGTGCTGAATTGCAACTTGATGCAGAAGAACTTCTGAAGACAGAGCCATAAGAAAGGAATAATTGGCTTGTATTTGTATTTATCCTTTGCTCCATTAGAAAAGTTAAGTTCTTTTCAGCATGACAGATTCCTTAAGAGCTGATGCTTGGCCTTCTAGGGGTGAACATACATTTCAAAGCCAGCTTAACCTTAGTAAATTAAGTGTCTGCTACCTGTGATTGTTTATTGTTCCTGACAAGGTTGAGTTCCGGAAAGAGAGCACGTAATTGTTACTCTTGCCCTTCTTCCCCAAAGCAAAAATAAACTTATGGCATCATAGTGATACACTCTTCTAAATGAAGTTCCTTTGGCTTGATCTATGAAGTGCAACCAATTTTATCTGTGGACAGATGCTCCAGTTTTGTAGGTATAGGGAAAGAAGCATTATCTGTGGAACAAGCAAACAAAACTAATCTTGTTTTGGGCCTTGTTTGAGAGCTTCTGGACTTGGACTGTTGGCTGAGTTAAAACCTTTGCTGGCAGTAAGTCATTTCTGCACCCTTCTGCTGGAGGCTGTGCTGCTGTTGGTTTGTGTCTGTTGAATCAGGCTGAGTTCTCATTGCAGCCTTCCAGTACCTAAAGAGAGCCTAAAACAGGAGGGGAGTCAACTCTTTACAAGGATAGATAATGGAAGGACAAGGGTATTAAGTTGAGGAAGACTTAGGTTGGATATCAGGGGGAAGCTCTTTACCAAGAGAGTGGTGAGGTGCTGGAACAGGCTGCCCAGAGAGGCTATGGATGTCCTGTCCCTAGAAGTGTTCAAGGCCAGGCTGGATGGGGCCCTGGGCTGCCTGGCCTAGTATTAGGTATGAAGGTTGGTGGCCGTGCAAGTGGTGGGGGGGTTGGAACCTGATGATCCTTCAGGTCCCTTCCAATCCAAGCCATTCTATGAAAACCAAACCATCCTATTCTGCAGACTTTCAGAACTTAATTGTTCTTGTTCTTTTATCTTAAAGCTTAATTGCTTCCATTAGAAATAGGGCATAGAAGGAACCAAAATAGAATAATTTTATTTCCTCGATCTGTTTTGAAAACCTTTAGAGCTCAATTTTTTGGAAGGAAAAGTGTGTTTTGTTTTTTTTTTCTTTCTGTTTATTTCAGGACAGTTTTATGTCTCACGTTTTGGCTGCAAATACAATACCTGTTGGTTTTTTAAGCTTTTTCTAAAAGTAATTTTACATTTAACTGGAATATTAGAAGCCTGCAGATATTTCAGCATTCGTGAGAAGAGATTTGGTCAGCAAATGCTACTGAATGTCACCCAAAAGTCACAGTCATATTTAAAAATTTGGGGTTCAATTTTGTGTTGAGGTAACCAGCGCAGTTCTGACTTCTGTGTAAACTCAGCAGTGGCTGCTGCTGTAAGCCACAGTTTTCACGTGGCTTCTGCGAAATGTGGCACTTCATTTTTTCCAGGCAAAAGTGATTTGTAGTAACATTTGAAAGTCCATTGGCTAGGCCTGTGGTTCTGCAGATTAGATAATACTTAAATTTAGTTACTGAAAGGTTAGCTTGTCTAAGTCATTGCACAGGAGTAAATTAGAATTCCAGGTTCAGGAGGTTTTATTTTATATAAAAGATACCTAAGTTTAAAAAAAAAAAAAAAAAAAAGTGGGGAAATTTATTTTTCTTAATTGTTCTTGTTACAATATATGAAAAATAAAAGGCTTTTCAATTTATGCTACATCTTTGGTTATCAGCTGTAGTATTTCTGGTTTAAGCAGATGTAATATTTGTCCTGCTGTTTATTGTACTTGTAAATGATGTAATAAATATTATGACATCATAATTTGATAATTTAAAATGGATTGGAGTTACATTCTTGCTGCTTACATGACTGCTGATACAAATGATCTATGATTTTTTCATACAGAAATGGTTGTATTTAGTAAGCTATGTGACATAACAAGTGTCAGAACTCAGAACTGGCTTTTTCAGATGATCATAGATAAATCAGAATCATCAGATTATTACAGAATTTATATAATTTTCTAATTGAGGAAGCCTTGCTCTTGTAAGACATAAGCATGGGAACAAGAAGTTCTGTTTGAGAACTCAGGCTGAAGTACACCTGGAGTTTAGCTGACCTTGAGATAGGAAATCCAAAACCAGCCTCACCTCTAACAGCTGTGACAACTCATAAGTATCTCCAAAACAATCAGGCCCCATCTCATTTATACTATGGGTATCAGAGCAAAATTAGTATTTTTATAATGGTGAAGTTAAAACTGGAGAACTGTATATCAGCTTTCATCACCTTGGACTGTTAAGAATTATAAAGCCTGTATCACCTGTTAGCCTGAACTACTATCACTACCTTTGGCACAAACGTGAAAATGTACAGCAAAAGACCTTTAAATTTAGCTGGCATCTAGTCTATGTCAAATTTTTGTACTTTAAATTCACTCATGTAAGAACTTACATTAACCAAATGCTGAAAAATGCCATTATTTTTAGGAGGGCATGGACTACAACAGTGCTCATATTGAGTGTAATTTGATGCTTGATGTAATTATTTATTTACTTATTTATTGAGATTTAAATACATCTTGAAGAAAACGATCCAAAGAGACATAGCTTGAAACAAAGTCTATTCTCTTCTGGGAGTTTTGTGTTGGTTCTAATAGAGGTGCTAGTAGTTAAGAGGAGCTGGGCAGCATAGTGGAGCATTCTACCTGTGGACTGAATTCAGCTTGCACTGAGACAGATGCAAGTGTCTCTGCCTTTGTGACCTTTAATAAAAATAGAAGCCTTTTCCATTTATTTGAGACACTTTCTAACTCCTAGTATTTCTCAGAAGCTCATTTTTTCACGTCACCTTCCACTAACCTTTCTATTCTAAGTTGCTAATTTCTCCTAGAACCTATACTGAGGGACAAAGTGGGACCTTCTGGACTTCTCATTCTAATGGGCTGATCAAATTATTATAATCACTAATATTTCCAGTGCAGTTCTGCAACGTTTATCCGGATGATCCTGGAACAGCTCCAAAAGGTTGACAAGGAAACAAACTGTTGAGTCTGTTTTTGATAAGTTTCAGAACAGTGGTATATTTAAACAATGTATTTTCACTGAGATAATTTTTAAAGCTTGCCGTTTGGAGTTACATATTGTGGACTTCCAAAGTCAGTGGATCTGCATTTCTCTGGTATCTGGTTTTCATGGCCCGTGTAGTATTTTGTGGGTTTTTTTTTCTTTCTATTGAGAGACTTAAGATGTTGGCAGTGGGAATTCTTCCAAGTATGTTAAAAAAGTGAGTAATACTATTGAAAGGTGCTATTGCACCTCCTTACCCAACTGAAGAATAACATCCCTGGAGCTCTGACATTGCTGTTTCATCATTGATGTTTTGTTCTTCCAAATGATCAGAATATTAAAAAGACGTTTATCCCAAATCCAAATGTGGGAAACATCCCCTTACACTGTTGCCTCACAGGCTAGGCTGGTGCAGCCCCTGGAGTGCTGGTAGAAGAAAAGCTTAATGCGAGCTGCAGTGTGCTCTTGTAGCCTGGAAGGCCAAATGCATCCTGGACTGCATTAGAAGTGGGGTTGCCAGCAGGGCTGAGAGTGGATTGTCCCTCTCTGCCCTTGTGAGGCTCCATTTGCAGTAGTGCATACAGGTCTGGAGCTGCTGGCACGAGGAAGGTGTGAGCCGCTTGTGAGTGTCCTTATCTTTGAGCTCACCTTATTTACAGGCAGACACAGTGCTTGCAACTTTGTATTAAGTTGAGTAAATCCATAAGACCCTGTGAAAAGTTTAAAACCACTGAAAGTTTAAAGCAAACTAAGGAATAGCAGAGAGCCAAGATCGTGTTAATACTGGTGTATGCAGCCCTCTTCAGGGGAAAAAATCCTGAAAGGAAACATGGCAGCTAACTGTCTCAGCACAGGAATCAAATCCTGAATGTACTTCATGAAAGCTCCACCCTTTCATCATGGTGTGAGGTTGGGTCATGACTAAAGTAGACTGGGAAGGGAGAGTATTCCTTGTGCTATCCTAAGACGAACCATTATAAAGCCTTGCCTTCAGAGTGAGGAGGAGGAAGAAACCTCTGCCTTGTGAAAAGCAACAAAACAGCTTGTATTTTGCTCTTGTAGTAAATTCGGTCATGCTGTGAGTGCAGCAGAACAAATCTGATATGACCCTACTGGAGTCTTCAGTCTTCAGAACACCAGCTGAGGACTCTCTCCAGCTGCTACATTCACACAAAGCAGCAGTATAAATGAGATCTTCAGTGCTGCCACTCATCAAACCCTCTGAAGAAGCTTCTGTCCTCTCTGAATTCTAGGGAGCACAACCATTGGTTGCTATTGAGTATTATATTTTTAATGTTTACAGCTGTAAATGCCACAATTTTGAATAGGTAAGGACAAGTGGAATAATAAAAATCAAAACAGCTACACCAAAGATGTCTTGTTTTTTGTAAGCATGCATGTTTTCTCTATTCACTGTTCTGCAATTAGAGGAGGCTGATCCACCTCTTTCAATCTTAGACTGACTTCAGATTATTTTCTATGTTGTCTAGAAGATCTGTCTCCCTTGGCCAGTCTTTGCTCAGTAATAAATTCAGTCAGCAAAATGCCATCTCAGAACCAGATTTGGAGCTGAGTAAGAAGGGGCAAACTGGAAGCGTTCCTGGGAGAAAGGACAAAGAAGCTGTGTTCTAACTCGACAGTTTCCTCTTGCATCCACTTTAACACTATTATCTCCCTCCCCTTGTCTTTTCCTGTGCTCACAGATCCCTGAGTTGCCAAATCACTTTGGTTTGGAATGGGTGGATGTTCTTGTGTGGGCACACCTCATTTTCTTTGAGAAATATGTCAATGTCTTAGTGCTATTTAATTCATTATTCTGTTTTCCAGAATCAGCACATGCACAAATCAGTGTGGTCAAAGAGTAGGCATCACAGTAGAGTGTTGGATACCTCTGTCATCAGCTCTGCCACCACAGTAAGTATGACTGAATTTCCAACGTTATTCACAAATGGTGCATTAACACAGGGCATTTCATTATAGAAAGGGACAGATGTTGACATCTCCACAGAGGAGAGGATCAAGTCTGGATGAAGATCTTGATTTGCAAGCCTTTCAAATAGGAGGCAAGGTGGAACTGTACTACTATTCAGGCCAAGCAGCTTCAAATCACTGCAGATGTGTGTCTAAACACAGATGGTTCCCAATTTCCTGCTCTTTCTGTACCCAGAAACATTACAAGCTGATGTTCTAGGCATGAGAGAATTGTTGGCCACCATTTGGAAACCATAGAAGGAAATTCTACCTGAAAAATCTTTGGTTTTACTGTATTTATCTTTTACCCTCCTACATCAGAGATAATTGAATATCTATACTCCCTTCTCACATGAGATGTCACAAAAAGTTGAAAGAGCATGCATAGCTCATGGCTGAGTGCAGATGCGATTCATTGTATTTTCTTGAAGTTACTGCTTGTTAAATCACTTTACATCTAACAAAGTATTTCTAAAACAAAGCAGGCATTGTAGTGCATTTTAACAGCATTGCAAAATTTATGCAGAGATCTTGGTCATGTATGTTCACTACTGTGCATTTGAGTCAGACTAAGCAGTATGCCCAAGAGATAATGGCCTTCAAAACTGAGCATATAAATCCTTAGTGGTCTGCTCAGTACTTGTCACACCTTTTCTGGGAATTGATGTTTCTTTAATAAAGTAAGTCCATGGACTGGTCTTGAATATCAAATATAGTAGTGGTTTTGAATCTCCTAAGTTTGCCATCTGAATTAGCCCAGTTAGAAATTACATTTCCCACTCCCCTTTAAAAATGTCTAAAAGAAGGTTTCTGCTACAGTTAGCGGGATCTCCTGTAATAGCCTAGTCTTCTGCAGTGGAAAGATGGAGAGAAGGCACAAGGCAGACCCGGGGTCTCCAGGCCCATGTGCTGTCCTCTTGGCCACATACAGCACCATGCAGAAACATCAACAACATTTGTCTGAGTTGTCAGAGGTATGTCCTAAACTGAACACCATGGTGTTCCTGAAAAAACACCAAGTGCTTGGCCTTGAATTTTGCTAGGAGTAATGAACTGGGAAGCATAGACAAGGCTGCTGGAACTTCTCGGTTTCTGTGGTGAAAGCACATCCCACTGCCTTGTGGGACTGACTGGGTGGTTGTCCTCCTCTTGATTTCATGCAGGAATTTGACAGAGGGAATTGAAAAAGTAAAGTTTACTTCAGTGGGGTAAATATGAGAAGAAAATTAACTATAGTTTAAAGAACCATCACGATCTTTAAAGAGCTTGTCTAGGATGTTTTAAGAAAAATCTAATGATTTAAGAAGTCATTTAAGAATAATTTAAAAATGAATGTTTAACTTGGGGAAAAGTAGTGAAAGAAAAAAAAGGGAGAATTTAAATTTGCTAAAACTAAAATATAGGAAGTCTTGAGAAAGTAAATGTTCTTTATCAAAATTCAATCTTAATTTTAATCCTTTGGCCATCAGTGTAAAGTACCATGCGGTCTTCTGAATGTAAAATTACCTCCTGCTGCAGAGATCTTCAGAATCGTAATGTGCAGTCCAGCTATGCTCGTGTGCCACAAGCTGTCAAAATACTGATGAGGGATACTGACCCTGAGATCCCTGATTGGAAAAAAATGTTACCACTAAATGGCTGTGCTATAAATAGTTAAAGCTGACTATATTTCTGCAGGGAGGCTCTTGCTGGCTCTCCGTGAGCTGCCTTTGAACAACGTTTCACACAAGGCGCTCTCCTGCTCCCATGCCAAGAAGCAAGGAGCCTGGGGGCCTCCGAGGGCCACCAGAAGAAGTTGCCACCGGGTGTAGTGGAAAATGTCTTGGCTGCTATTACTGGAGAGAATTTATTACCCAATAATAAACAGCTATTCACAGCTATTCCAGAGAAAGTTGCCTATAGTGTTGTCAGAAAGTCAGTACTATTGTTTTCCCAGGTGTTTTACAAAGTTAAGGGTTTAATAAACAAGCTGCAATGAGATTTGGTTTCTTTTAAGGGAAACTCATTTGTTAAAGGCATGCCTTTTAATGGTGTGCATTAAATTAAAAAAATATATCTAGAAATAACACCAAACTATTAAGTGTATGACTGCCAAAGCCCAGAACAATTGCTGTCATCTTAGGTTAATTTCTGTTGTACTTCCCCTCCTCCCATTTCAACGCCACATAAATCCAGAATGGGATCTAACATGGGATGAGGCACGCACAGTTCTTACGTGCTCTAAACTTGTGTTATTAATCTTTCTTGGGAGTGAAGTTGTTTCTGTATTGAGTGTTGAGGAAAAGAAAAGTTTCTCCTGCTGCTGAGTTCATGCCCTTTATATATCCCACGCACCGCAGTTAGAATTTTACACAGATGGGAATGGAGGACCATAGAGAGTCTGGGTAGATGTGTGAGACACTGGATCAGGACTCAAATAGCCTTGTTAAGATCTGAGCTTTATCACAGCCTTTATTTGCTACGCCGGGCAAGGCACTGAGTGTGCTTCTATCTGGAGGTATAATTGCAGCTTGAGTTTGCTTACGTGGTTAACTCTAAACTAGCTCAAGCAGTCATAGCTATTGAGAATGGCAGCACAGACTTCAGAGCACTGGCAAGACCCCTTAGGGTCTGTGGACAGATGGTCAGTAAATGATGTGTAATTTAAGTACACCACAAGCCATGCAACCTAGTTTAAAGTTCTGATCTGGTGCAGCTGTAATTTGAAAAGGCAATGGATTCCACCATTTGTTGCTGCAGTTCCCAATTGTGTTAGGGAAACATAAATATTATTCTTGTCCAAGCTTTTGTCTGTCTTGTCTACTTAAATAGCGACCTCTTCATTACAGCAAATCTCTACTATTTTATGCTTATAGAGCAAATAAGGCTTGCATTTTCACTGTGATTTGGAACACTTATTGAAGTTATGGAGTCACCTCTAGTCTACATCTGAGAGTATATTGTTTCATAAGTCTGTTGCATGAAGCTTTCAATAGGATATATAGCTGAACACCCTTCTGCATGGAAATGCTCTGGACAAGGGAAAACCATCCTCATGTTTCTCAGGATCACCAGGCAGGAAATCTTGGCTGCCCACTGTTACAACTCTTGCCTAAATGAAATGGAGTTCAATGAACCAGATGAAGTCTGATTTTTAAGCCTTTGGCTGTAAATGGAAGTCTCTGTGCCATCATTAGTCAGTGCCTTTTCAATGTGGAGTGCTGTAACCCAGAAAATCAGTGGTGGAATTCTGTAGCAGCCAAGGTAAATCCTCTTGCAAAACTCTCAGCTTGCAAGTGCAAGGCTGAGCCCTATGTATGGGAGGATATACGGCTACACTGCACAAGACTGAAACATGGACATTTTGCAGTACAGCCTCACTTCTGATTCCCGGACCAACTCTGAATTCTGTGGTGTTCATGGTTGTAAACTGCAGATGCCCTTTGTTAACAAAACAATATATCTGGTAGGGTGTTGTACTTGGACCAAACTAAAATTCCAGCAAAAGTGAGGTTTCTTCTGTGCTCTTTGCTGTTCTTCTTTGTATAGCTCTAAAATAGTGTTTTGAACTTCAGGAAATGCATGCAGACAATCATTTAACATGAGAAAGACTCTGCTCTGTTTTTATTTGTGTAAAGTTTGTATGTCCATAAAACCAACCTCCCCTCCATCAGCTGCCAGTGACCATGGTTTTCTTTTCTAAACCTCTCTACTAAGGTAACCTTACCAGACAGGAGCCTTTCCAGGTAGCTCAGTAGATGTGACTACCAAATCACATAGGGAAGGTTCCTTTTGTCTGGGCAATGCCCTCTTGTCAACAGCAGTGCAACAAGTGGCAGTATTTGAAAGGCTGTTCTTGCAGGATTCTAAGTATGAATGAAAGTGGTGGTGCCTCTTCATTTTCTTCTCTTTTTAGCTGCATTCAATGGAGATTTTAAGGAAAAACAGCACAGGGTGATAATGTGACTAAAAAAAAAAGCACTGAAGGCTTGGAGCATGACCAATTCTGCTGGAATTTGGTGTGTTAGGATTTCTGGAGGGCGCTTTTGAGGGAAGAGAAATTTTACAGCGGTTGTGTATATGGAGTGAATAGGTAGGTAGAATTCTTCACGAGTGCTATTTTCCTTCTGTTAAACCCTCCTTCAAGAGTCTGTTCTCTTATCACTCCACATGAATTCCCCCATCTCATCCTTCCACCACAGAAGCTTACCTTAAATATTTGTTGCTATTGTCTCATTTTATATTGCCTTCTCAAGAAGGAAAAAACAGTGCTATCTCTTCCAAGTCCTTATTTTATTAAAACCCTGAAAATTAATTTTTTACTTTCTTCTACTACCCTCAAATTACACAAAACACTCATCATTTCTGAGAAGGACCCTTGCAGCTCTCCACCTTCATCTCTTTCCTCCTTTGGTAGCTTGGTTTTTCTACCCAAAGAAAGGAAATGGAAGCATTGGCTGCATTTTACAGTGAAAAAGTGACCAACGCAATTAACAATTTTAATTAGAAGTTGTATATTTAAAATAAAAAATGTGTGCTGTTCTGAAGAGATCCTACTTGCATACCAGTTCAGGTTATTTTTACATATTGTTAATTCCAACAATACATAAAGAAGTAAAATGTTTCCATTTCAACTACTTATGAGAAGGATTCAAAATGATTAGTGGGATAAGTCCTGTGACACAGTGAAATGTACTGTTCAGTAGGTTATCATGTTGTAACTATGCCATTGCAAACGGTTGCCTATAGCTAGGAATAGAAATCTGTGTGGGCCACAGCTTATGGTAGATGGGCAATGACAAAAGATCTGACTTTACAACTGATCATTTGTGTTGCAAATGATTTGGAACAGTCTCAGACTTGGACAGGCATAGGTCAGACTGAAAGAGCCAGTGTCCACCCATGGCTGCACTTTTTGTTGAAAGGACTGGCGTGCACATAGATTTAATAAAATGTTTCTGATG